CATACAGTTAGAAATGTATTTGTTTTAACATTTCATACACTTTTTGCCGGAACACATTTAAAGACTTTACCTACAACTTCTTGCATCATTTCAATAACATACTTATTCATAACAGGTATATTGCTGATTTTTGTAAGTAACGGTTTAGTAAGGCCAACACTCTTTATGCGCGTAACATTGCAGGAATGTTCGTTTCAGGTTCATCACCAAGTCATTGCTATTTTTACTCATAAGTCTCCAATCCTTCATTGCATCTTTGATGACATCTACATCCCTTGTAGAAGTTTTTACATTAGGGTGGTTCTAAAAACAACCTTTTTTGAAAATGGCTGCCAGCATCCCATATTGCATATAATAAAAATATGCTGAATTTAAAAAAATGTTGAATAAAAAATATTTTAAAGAGTTACTGCCGACCCTTAAACATTTAATAGGTCCCTAATATTATTAAAAAAACATTTTTCAAAAGTATGTCATGTTGGGTCTCAAACAAAGCAAAATTAAATAAAGATTTCAAAAATAATATTTATTTTATAAAAAAAACATCGATAAAAAAAATTTTAATTAAGAAAATCATGTTAAATTTCATATTTTTTGTTTTTAGATAAAAAACGTTTCTGTTCACTAAAATTTAAAATAAAAACTTAATTATAAATGAATATTATTTTTGAAATTTTAATATAACTTCAATATTTAGATAAACACACGTCAATATTAAATCGTGTTGTTTTTGGTTTATTACTTTTTTCTACCCGTAAAACCAACACACCGTTCCAGCACCTGTTTGTTGGGTTGTGTATTTTAGTACTTATTACTTCACATCGAATTATTTATTTATATATTGTTTTTTTTTTGTTTTTATATTAAATCTTTACATATATGTAATCATAAATATAAACTGTTTACAAGGTATAAAATAAAATATCGTACATATAACAAGAACTTGTTTTAGTTCAAATAACAAATTTAGTACAAACGATAAATATAAAAAAGTAACGCTGTTAAAAGAACGCGTGAAACTTGCAGAAGACGATGTGGTTTTGTCATCAATAAATTTTAGTTAAGATGTTTTTGTATACTTTATTTATTAAAAATTTCAGTTTAGCCAAGTCCATGGTGGCATTAAATACACATATTAAAGCTATTAGATAATAAAAAACAGATAAGAGCTGTATTTGATACACATAAATATATTATTACATGGCTTATTATATTTAATATATTTACAGACATGTACGAAATATAAATAAAATCTATAATTTAATTTGCTTTTAAATTAATTTTTTAGGTTTTTTTAGTTATTTGTTTTAATATATGTTCGTAAAATTGTTTATGTTCCGAACAAGTATTTTCAAAGATTTTGAGTTTTTTATTTTTGTAATTGTAGAGTTTTTAGATATTAGTTTGTTGTAGAGGTAAGGTCCGCGATAAGAAACGTGGTAGTTTTTTTTTTATATGGTACATTAAAATTTCCTATTCCTCGAGTGTCATATCTATTTCTATTTTTAAAAAAATCTTATAAAAAATGTGATGGGACAAGTTCAAGTTTATATTTAAACAAGTTCAAGTTTATATTTAACATATTTTTATAGATCTTAATTTTATAGAGGTTTAGCACGTTAAGAAATTTTAGTGGTGGTTCAGCATGAGTAAATTTATCTTTATTAAATACTATTCTTGCGGCATGTCTTTGATGTTGGTAGAGTCCCTCAAAGTATTTAATTATTTGTTTATTTTCTAATTATTAGGGGTCGTCCATAAAGTACGTACGCTTTTTTTTCGCCAACCCCACCCCCCTCCCTGCATTTTGCCATACGCTTTTAAGAGTACCCTCTACTTCCCTAAAAGTACTTACGATTTAAACCTACCAACCCAACATTATATGTCAATAAAACTAGGCAGTCTTTTGCAACAAGTTTATGCAAGCATTTTTTGCATGAAGAGGTACATGCACATGCAAAGTGTTTTAATGATTCACAGTTGTAACATTGCTTTATTTGTATAAAACTTGTCACTTCAGTCCTAGTCGTCCGGTAACTTGCATTTACTTCTTCATTAACAGATAAACATGCCACATCTAATCAAGATGTTTGTGCAACCACGGATACATTCTTGACGCAATCATCAATGAATCTTCTCCCCAAATGGCTCGCAGAATTCTATCATCATTTAATCCAATCGTGAATTGGCCACAAAGTCAGCCATCGCTCTCTGAAGGCAAGATAATGTAATCTTGAGCTGCTCGAATCACCTGATGCGCAAACGTCTGTATAAAGTCTTCATTGCCACGATACGTTTTCTAAATTCATACAGTGAGATTAACGATGATTTTTCTTGCTTCAACGTCTTCAATTTTGTCACCAATTCTTTGTATAAAACGTCCTCTAGAACTTGAGCAGCAAGTAAGTACACTATGTGTTGGTCTGAGATGATATTGTATTATAAAGAAATAGGTCATTTGTCGAATAAATCGAAATACTCATATTGCAGAGTTAATAGATACGCCCAGTTAGTTTGTTGTTCAACGCATTTAAAAACCAACTTTATTTTTAATAATAGTTTTCTTACTTATCAACAATATTGTCTTCTTACAAAATATTGTTCGCTATACATATCATCTAAAAATACAACTTGTGACTCTTGTTGACAGTTAATGATCATTATACAAAAAATTAAAATATTAAAAAAATACGTGTGGCTTTGTCAATATTTTTTCAATAATTACCAAAGCTAGTTATTGAAAAAATTGTTATAATAAAATTCTTGATGAAAATTAATCAAAACAAAGCTCTTTAGGAAATGTCTCCTCTAGAGAATAAGAACGTCATAGTAAATGTTAAAGATACTGGAACAACCATAATAGCTTCTTCAACATTGTTCGAAGAACCATCATGATAAAACTTTGTATCTTAATTCATAGTTTTGTAGCATCACGCCAGTTAAATGATTTATTAAAAAGTTTACAAACTAATTGTACTACCAGGAAACAAAGCTGTTTCTGTAATTCAAGATATACTAACTTAGTAGCCAGAGGCTTGAATCCAGCATTGGACTTAAGTTCTTAATTTGGAAAAAAATATAATTCAATATATTCTTTAAATAATGAACAAACAATTTTTTAATTACTTTATTCATTCTTTTACAAATTAAATTTTTTGATTATCTGATAAAACGTTAAACTTTTAAAGTATATAATTATTTTGCAAAAATAACCTGCAATTATTATTATTATATTATCTAACATTCACCTCAAAAATAATAGCAAAATATCTTTATTACTTCACATATATCGATTTTAATAAATTTAGGAAACCGCTGATTTTACAGGTGACAGGAATAGTGTCGAATATATTAAAAAGGTCTAATGTTGCAAAAAAAAGGAATAGTGTCGCAAATGAATTTAATGAATAGTGTCGAAAACAAAAAAAATTATAAGATAGTTGGTGTATGCATAAAATTAAAATTACTAGAAAGATCGAATGTTAAAGTAGATAATATTAGTATTACTATATTAATAATAATAGTTAACCTTTTTAGAAAAATAAAGTTTTTTAATTATTTTATATCATGAAATAATTCAAAAAAATATTTTTAATTGAATCTTTATATCAATAAAACTATTTTGTTGTAAATTTAATTATTGCTCTATTTGCCGACCAAAAGATTATTTAATGTCTACGTAAGCAAGGAATTGAAACAGTCACTTTTTATGTGGTCAAAATATTTTTATGATCAAAAAATTTAATTTTCAAAAAGGTTTTACTGTTAATACTAATTTATTATTATAAATTTTTCCTACCTTAACATTCGATCTTTCTTTTAAATCTAACATTATTATATTTTTTAAGCAATTAGTTCAATGCTGATAAAAAAATAGGTTTTTTATAACGCACTTGTAATGCTAATCAGTTGCATACCATTAGTAATATCATGAATCAGAAAAAAACTTAATGATTGAAGAAGAAGAGACGCAAATCTTTCAGCTTATTGTTGCACAATGTACTTCTATGTGTGTGTATGTAGGCTTCTGTAAATAAAAGCTCAACATCATATTTTATTTTGTTTATTATGAATATTATTCCACTCGAGATAAACATTACTGTTTTGTTACGGCTATCAAAAAGCTTTTAAAAACAAAGTATTACCGAATTCTCGAAATTTAGGTATTTGTTGTTAAAAGAAATGATCTGCTGTCGGATTTTCTAGGGGACTATCTAAATAATTTTATGGAACAATGATAAAATGCAATATCAATACTTTTTAGGTTGTAGATGCTTATAAAATTTGTACATTGATTTTATTATTATTCGATTTTATTATATATTCATGATTTTAGCCACTACTTTTTAAAATATTCTTCTTTTAGTTTAAAGGCAATTTACGTTAAATTTGACAATATGAGTAAATTTACAATTTACTCATATTGTCGTCAGTTAAACATTTTTTCATTTGGGACTTTTGTTAGGTATTATTTAGTTCAACCAACAATTTTTAAAAAACAGCTTTTCTCTTAACGAAATATGTAGAGGGTCAATCGAATACTATAAATACTTGGACTAGCCACTAGAGTACTATAACGTTAATAAAAGATTACCATTATTTTAGCGTTACTTTTTTTTAGAGCAAAATAAAATAAATATATTTTGTGGTCAGTCACAAGCACTTAGGTCAAGTTACAATGCACAGCGAGAAATTTCTTTTGAATTTTAGTTACACTTCTTTAAATTAAATTAAAAAAATGCACTAATTAGTTATAAATATGCATATAAACTTGTTCACAGATACAAACTTAGTTATTTGGCTGTTGTCCCCTAAAATAAATATTACTAAATAAAGCTTGTAGCACAATCAAAGAACGAATAATATGAAAATTTATAAATATAAGTTGATATATTGAAGTTTAGAATATCTTATGTCTTTAAACCAGTAATTTATATTGTAAGCTTGACTTCAATATCGCTCATTAATAAACTAAATAAAAAAACAATACAAAACCGTAATTCAATCAATAACTATTGATATTCTAAAAATAATTTCACTATTTTAAAAGTTTGTCTTTGGTGGAAACGCGAAGATAAAAGCTACACTACCAACGATCAATAACACAAATATTATAAAAAATATTTTATCGATTGAGCGAACAACGTCTTCCCAATCTGCTGTAATACTTTGCTGTCGGGTTTTGGTGTTCACATAATCGCTAATAGTCTTTAGATATTTTAAATCATTATTTCTTTCAAGTTTCAATAAAGAATCATAGAGATTTATTAACTCCGAACTAATTATTTCTGAACATTTACTACGGAGCATAAGATCAGGGTTTGTTTCAAGAGTGTTGTTTGATGGCACGTTTTGTTTTTTCGCATAACTTTCGTTTTGTGAAAAGCTTTCGTTTTTATTTAAACTTGTATCTAGTAACCTCAGAGAAATATCGTCATTAAATTCATAAATGATACACTTTGATAATAATTTACGTCTCAAAAAATAAAAAAAGTTATTAAAATGATTGTTCAAAAAAACAAGGCGAACCCAATTTGGCACGGGTACATTCTTTGAATTTAGACAAATGATAACGCAATTTGTCATTAAAGCAAGACCGATCTCGTTCATTAAAAGCGTATAAAATCTAAATAATTACATTTACAATGATTTAAAAGAAGTAAATTGAAACATTTACTACATAACCTATATCTTAAGCTAGAGATCAAAAAAATGAGAAAGGAAAACTATTTCAAAAATCTTTAAAAAAGTTGTTATTTACAAATTTCTTTAAGTCTTATTTAAAGTTAAGAAACTAAAAAGTATAAAAAACACTTCTAGTTTCAAAATATTTTTCAAAAAATAATCGTACATAAGTGGTGGTGATGGTGTTATCCATTAATATTTGCGCAATTTGAATTGTCATTTTTCTGCATATGGTTGACCATCCCTTCAACAACTTATACTGAATCAATTTTCTTGTCTGTTTTACGCAAATATCTTTTGACAATACCCTAATATTTTTATTGATGGGCCGGAATCGTGAGCAATTCGGTGGATTGAGTTTTTATGATACAAAATTAAACTTTCTCAATTTATACCACTCCACAGTTTTCTTAGAGCAATGATACAGTGACACTTAGAGTAGTGACACAAAGCTTATTCAGGCTGGAAAAAAGTCTATCGTGTGAAACGAATGAGTGCTAAAAGTCACATTTTAAAGGCACTCTTGAATTAAAAAAAATGTCAAAACTGACGACACCACAAAAGCTCTACTTTTTTTTTCCGCAACTACAAATTGCTAGTCATAAAAGCAATTTATATTTATATTTGCCCACAAGTTTTTATTTATTATTGTTGCATACATACACCGCCACAAAAAGTTGAAATATAATATCTGTCACCAGGAAGTTGACTAAAGTTACATTTTACGTAAGTTTAGTCATCCATCAAAATGAAGCCATTTAACTTCTTCAAAAATTGAATGTTAAGTATTTGTGCTTGTGTTTTGGAAGTGAAATTTTGTTTGTCAGAGCAATTTGGACATTTACTTCCCGGGAAAGACTTGTAATTGTAGTATTTCTTCACTTTTGTTATCAAAAAGTTAGAAACTTTTTAATTTCCAGTTCATCTTCTATTAGACAAACCAAGATTTCTTTCACAAAAACAAAAACAACAATCTTATTAACCACTGATTTAATGTTAAAAATTTTCTTTCTATTTCTTTAGCTTGTTCGATGGATAAAGTCTGCTTATATTATTTTATAACTCTTTCAACAGTAGATATAGGGATTTTAGTAGCATTTGAGTCTCTTTTGTAGGTCTATGTTGGGTATTCTTTACGAATGAGCAAGATTTTTCTTCTATATTTCAATATGCTTCAATGACATTTTTAATGTGTTAGTAATTTATTTTAAAAGTGGTTTTTGTTTCTCATTATTTTGATCTCATGCTTTTATGTATGTATGTATGCACATACGTATATATGTGTATGTATGTATGTATGTATGTATGTATGTATGTATGTATGTATGTATGTATGTATGTATGTATGTATGTATGTATGTATGTATGTATGTATGTATGTATGTATGCATGTATGTATGTATGTATGTATGTATGTATGTATGTATGTATGTATGTATGTATGTATGTATGTATGTATGTATGTATGTATGTATGTATGTATGTATGTATGTATGTATGTATGTATGAATGTATGTATGTATGTATGTATGTATGTATGTATGTATGTATGTATGTATGTATGTATGTATGTATGTATGTATGTATGTATGTATGTATGTATGTATGTATGTATGTATGTATGTATGTATGTATGTATGTACGTATGTATGTAATTGAAAAATCAATATAAAAATACAACAATAAAACAACAACTTAAGAACTTAAACTGATTTTAAATGACCTTTTTTACAAAGACATGCTTAATTATGTATGTACTGAAACATAATAAAAACACAACAATGTTTTAAAAACAAAATTGCTTACTTAACAAGTAGAGGTAATGTATCAGAACTTGGAGGTACAAAATCAGAAACAATGAGCACATAAAATGATAATGAAAGAAAATTTGTAATAACTAAACCAACTCTATCACCAGAGAGAGGAGGAAGTATAAAAGAGAAACATGAAAGTAGAGCGATTAAAACTCCTGGAAGAATAATTTTAAACAAATAAAATTTTGCTCTACGCTGAAAATGCAACTTATAAGTCAAACTGACGTAAGGATTTGGACAACATTTAAAAAGCTCAGATACTCTAACAGCTTCAAATCCTAAAAGAAAAAAAAAGTTTTAATATATCCAATCACCTTAGTGGCAAAATTAAAAAAAAAATGAAATAGATTTACATTCTTAATCATAGAATCTAAAAAATTTTAAAAAAGAAAACACAAAACTATATTTCTATTGAGACTTTAAATGCATGCTATACATAACTCAATAAAATCAGTGTTAAAATTAAAAAATAAATTACGAAAGAAATTGATGAACTTAATATTATTTTTATATTTTTTATTCTTTTTTGTTAGTTATAAATTTTAAGATAGAAACATGTTTTAGAATTTACTTCTCTATATTACTCTTTCTTTTTTTCTCACTCTCTTATTCTTTTATTTTTTTTATAGCAACAAAAAAAAAGTAAACTTTTGTTCCCATAATAAAAATCCTAAAGTATATGCTCAAACGCTAAAACATTCAATGTTCTGAAACTAATTCAATATCCTTTAGTATATGCTAAGTCAAATTAGAACTCAATTATATATTAGACATTTTAAAACATCACAAAACATCATGGTTAAAACATCACAAGAATTTTTACAAAGTATACTAATTAGTATTGTGTCATTTATGAATGCAAATGATATTTGATACCAAATGGCAATCCAATGGCCATTTGGTATCAAAAAATGTTCTAAAACAGTTCTAAAACAGTTCAGTGTTCACAAATATGAACACTTAAATGTTATAGAATTATTGAACATTTTAAATTAAAACATTTAAAGATTTAAAAATAAAACAACATAAAAACATACACATATTACTCATATATACATAGAAACTGTTCTACATTTTAACTTAAACCATTTAAAGTTTTTAAAATGTTATACAAATCTAAAAGGACGTTGATGCTACTTTTTTTAATTTTTATGAAAAGGAAGAAATTTTTTCATTATAAAAAAGTTTTAATTTTTGGGATAAAATTTATAAAGAATTACAATACATTAAAGTCTTTTTATTAGCATATATCAAATACTAAATCCCTAGCTGTTTTTTTATAGAACCATCGCACAATTATTCACTTCCCAATTACATTTTACTGCCTAATTCACTGTCCAATAATATTTACATTTTATAAATACAGACCAGTTTTCTCTTTTCAAAAAAAAAAAATATCGGCTAAAATGAAAAAAGTTGAAGAAAAAAATTATGAGAATGTGTTATCTCAAAAAATACCCTATTAAATGTGTATGTAGAAATTTTATATACATATAGATATACATATAGAAATTTTCCTACCATTGAAAAAGTTTCGGATTCTAATATTTCTTAATATTATGTTCTATATTATATTTTTAGGAACCATTTCAAATGTATGTAGCATAGTTCCTATAAATGAATATAGAAGCCAATGCTCTGAGATGAAACTTGTAGTCTAAAATGAGCTGAAATTCTTTTTACTGTAGGAATTATAAAGATCTTAGAAATGCTCTGATAGAAAGCTTAAAACGCCACACATGGTATTTAGATGAACAACTATATGTTCTTGCATTAGTAAACGCCACACATGGTATTTAGATGAACAACTATATGTTCTTGCATTAGTAAGGTAGAAATGATAAAAAAACTGCTTATAAATGTTAATGCAGAGATATTTAGACAAGGTATTTAGAAAAAAATCTAAATTTGGACAGTAGTCTGATACTTCCTAATCTTGTTGGTTCAGAAAGCTGAATCCATTACAAAATAGTTGGTTTTCCTGAGAAGGATAGTAATCAATGGATTGAAAGAAACTCTGACTACTGAGATAATATGGAGAGCTACATAAAGTATGTTCAGTTTATGCAAATCATGCTAGTAAAAAATTAGTGCAATAAGAGAAATATTTGCATAAGCAAATATTTCTCTTATTGCACTAATTTCTCTTATTGCACTAATTTCAAGATTTTTTTAAGGTAAATCTGAAAATGAGATGCTTGTAGAAAGAAAAGAGAGAAAGGAAATGTTAATGCTACCAACAAAAAAAGTACAAAATAAGAATTAGAAAATTAAATTTTTAGCAAATAAAATCTTTTTTTTCCAGACTATTAAGCTTTCAGTACTTTTTTTGTCTTTAACACCTAATAAGTAATATTTTCCATAAATTGCATGAAAAATTTTAAAAATATAGTTTTATGTAATCCTGTTACACATGAATTAAAGAACTGAAACTTTAAACATGATCAACTTGATGGTAATTGCGAAAATTGCAAAGTATATTGTCCCTGGACCTTTTTCTGAAATGACAAAAACTATTCCACATTGGTACCAAATACTTTAGTGATAAATTTCTACCACAAAATGTGTCAAGCAATAACCAGTACTTAAAGTAGTTTTGAATTGGGTAATCAAAGACCCAAGTGTCATTCTTCATGGTTGACAACTGTTAATTGTATTATCCATCAATATATATCAACAGAAAAGCCAGAAAATCATTATCTTAAAATACATTCAAAAATTGTATGCAATCATTTGGTTTAAAGTAAAATTGAAGCTACCCTGTGTGATTTACAGTGATCATCTCTTTCAAATTGTGCATTATAGAAGGTACGTCAGTCGAGCTCCTGAAAGTTGATGATCCAGTAAATTAAAGAAACACAAACTTTGCTTTTCCAGAAAAACTATTGACATCATTGTCATCTGATGAAAGGTCTCACAATTTTTTTAATTACCTATAAGACATGTAGTGGCTGCAATATCAATAGATAAGATTTGATGTCAATACTAATCTACAGTTCTTCTTGATACTACAACAATATTTTAAGCAATAGATTAAAAAGACATACACGACTGGTAATCAAACAAAATTGTTGAATCTCTAATATTCAGATTGATTAAATCAATTGATTAAAAACAGCATTCTGACCTCAGAAATGCTACAATTTGAAAATATTTGATTTCACACTCATGTTGTAGAAAGTGGTTTGAATTTTGTCACTGAAGCCAGTATAAAAGATTGTGAACTTCAGCTTGCCTGAAGTACTCATAATGATTTCATTGATGATCATTACCTGTTTTGATGGGTATAACAGAAATAGTAATTACATGCTTCTTGCTATTTATTGTGTGCAAATATTTTGGTGCAAGATGATAATTAAATGTTTATCTGCCAACCATTCCCCAATAATACTGTCAAATATGATGAAAATTAACACTGCTACCGTTTTTTTTTAAGACAGCACATTTTACTTTCTAGAATCCTTAAAAAGTCTTAGGTTTGATCAAAACTATGCCTTGGTTTTCCGATTTTTTTAGAACATTGTGTTCTTCTATAAAAAATGTGAGAATAAAAAGTTTATTTGGGGTAATTTTAACTATGTTTTAATTTCATTTATTACTCCTAGATTAATACATCATTTTACGAGGGATATTACTGTTACAGTTACGAGGAAGTATATTTTGTGTAGAACCATATATATAGCACAGTTTATATGAAAACAATTTACATGAAAAAATTACAACCTAGATTTTTTTCTTATGTCAATACTTACACAGCTGTCCAACATAAAAATAGAAAATCAATAATCATCTTCAGAGTTTTCAAATGACACATATATTCTGCTTATAGAGCGGGTATTTTTACTCTCAGTCTTGTAGTAATTGTCTTTATCATAAATGATGTCACAACACTGAAGATGGTTTGCTAAACTTTTCACATTGTATACATCTATAGTTACTTGACTCCAATCGTCTTAATTTATGGCTTTATTAGATGATCATGTACCTATACGTACGTTGGGGCTCTGTGCGAGCCTCTGGCGCGGTATAAGCAGTTTGCATCTCTGACACAGTGTTAGAAGTGTAAGATGGCATTTCATTCTATAAATACTATCACTGCTTAAACAAGCTATAGTCTGTAGTTCCATTAACTAAAACCCACTCTTGAGTTAATTGGTTTTAACAAAAAAAAAAAAAAAAAACTGAATTTGATGCGTTTTAACTTTAATATTGCTTGATAATTAACTCCCTTAATTACATAACTTATAGAAATTGATTGATAGGAAAAAAAAAAAAAAAAAAAGCTTATTGTTAGATTTTATTTTCTTGAAAAAATTACCTTCTTCACATCATTTATTAATCAAAATAAAATAATTTTCAGCTACTTTTACTTCTATGAAAAGACAACTATTCAACTAACAATAATGTTCCCCTGAAAATTAGGACGAATGTGATATTTAAATTTACTCGTGATGTAATGCTAGCAATATTAATGCAATAAGTATAAATAGAATAGAAAAAAAAATTAAATAACAAAAGACATAATACAAAACTCAAAAATGCATCAACATTATGGTAGAAATTTTCAAGTCTGTTTCATATTTGATAATATATACTTGCAATCGCAGTAAATTGATAATATAGATTTGCAATAGCAGCAAATTAGCTAAAGAAAGTTTCGGAATGGTAGAGAGTAATTTAAATAAACAAATATGATATTACTTTTTTTCTGTAACTTTATGAATTTGCATTTTATGCATACTTCTACTCATTTTATATAAAATGATATACAATGTTATCTTTATTAATTTTTGCTACTTTTTTTAAAAAAAAAGAATTTCTTTAAAAGTTAAAAAATTAAATTGTCTTTTTTAAACTAATTATAAACTCATTTAACAATTTACTAACAATTAAGTATTATGATTTAATGATAAACATTTGAATTTATAACTTGTAAACTTTTTTAGTGCATACTTACCACTGATGATGAACTCGCTACTTTTAGCAAGGATTGATAAGTCGCCTGTTGGATTTTTATGGTAGAGATCAATAGCAACTTGATCATATGCCCATGAGCCAAATATTAAAGGACAAACTTGTTCGTCAAACGGAAAGTAACTCATATCAAGTTTACAGGTAGTCCTGCAAATATAACAAATTAAGCATATAACATTATATGTACAATTTGATATATAACAGAATTACACGTTTTTTTACATTCTGCAACACAAAATGAAAGAAAGTTTAAATTTAAAAATAATAATATACATATTACTAGCCAAAAAAACAGTTCTATACAAACCCACTTGAACGAGTTTGGGTATCAGTACAAGTTAATAAATGCATACTTATTGGGTGTATATATCAACCAAATAATGCTAATCTAATGTCGCTGAATCTTTCAAATAAGCTCATAGTTTAATTAAGAAGCCCTACGATGACTGTTTGGTCGTTAGTGATTTTAATTTTCCGAATATGAAGTCGTCTAATAATGGTATTAAATCTTTCAACCCAAATAATTCTAACAAGTATGAAATTTGGAACATTTACTAAAACATCTTCTTTACACAACACATCACATTCCCTACTTTCCAGACAACCTATGGTTCCGCAAAAAATATGTTGGGCTTATTATTTACCTACAACAATAACTTTATTTTAAATTTGTCTCCTAATGCTATACTAGGTAATAACACTTGTGTCTCTTGGGTGTCTTTAGAATAACCTATACTAGGTAATAACACTAAGGGTGTCTTTAGAATAACCTGGAGAATCTTAATTTCAGAACCGCTACCCAAAAATGAATCTCAATTGTTTAGCTACAACAAAGCTGATTGTAATTTAATATCAAACTTCATTGCATCTATCCATTGGGATATTTTATTTCTAAACAAAAATGCATATCAAATGTTTAATAAATTATTTTCTTATTATTGTACTGCTTGCGAATTTTTATCCCCGAAATTAAAAAAACAAAAAAAAAGGTATGATCCTTGGGTTATTCTACATATTAAAAGCTTAATCCAAGCAAAAAAATCAACTTGACACGTAAATGTCTTAATCGTTCCGTTAAAGCTGAAATATTCAAAGCAAAAATATTACGTGAAAAAGAAGTAATATCAAATTTCTCAGAAAATTTTCCATTGTTAAATAAAAGTGAAGTTAAACCTAAATGCAATTATAATAACAACTTGGATTTCTCTATTGCAGACATTATTAATAAACTTACCAATCTAAACCATTACAAATCTTTTGGACCTGACGGCTTGCACCCTTTAATACTTAAGATATGTGCCAAAAGTTTTGCAGTTCCGCTTACAAAAATTTTCTATAAATCTTTTAATTTTGGAATAGTACCAACTCTCTGGAAATTAGCAAATGTTAGTTTGATCTATAAAAAAAAGAAGACAAACTCCTTCCTAAAAACTATGACCTATTTCACTAACCTCAGTTGCATGTAAAAAATTTTAAAAAGATGTAAAGAACAAAATTTTGAAGCACATCAACGATAACAATTTGCTCTCTACAAATCAACATGGCTTTTTTCGTCATAAATCTTGTGTAACCAATCTAATAGAGACTTTTGATATTATTTCATCTTCTCTAGCATCGCACTAGTTTATAGACATAATCTACTTTGACTTTGCTAAAGCTTTTAATTCCGTACCTCACATCAGACTCATGTTAAAATTAAAATCAATCGGAACAAACGGTAAACTACTACAATCGTTTAATTTCTTCTTTTTAGGCAGAAAGCAACTCATTACAATTATCAATACTAGCTTTGACTATGTTGATGTTCTTACTTTTGCTCCTCAAGGTTCTATTCACGGCCCACTCTTTTTTTTATTCTTTTTACGAACGATCTTGCCCAACTTACAGAAACTGCTAAAGTATTTGCCGAGGATACTAAACTTTTTTTTTAAAGTTAATCGTAGACTAATTTCGTTGATATGCAGGATCGCCTGCGGTTAGTATACGAGTGGTCAAACACTTGGTTACTTAAACTAAACATTTCAAAATGCTGTGTTATCCCTTATGGTAAAAGCAATCCTATGTATAGTTAATTTTTGCAAAATAGTTAAAGTATAAATGAAAGCCTAGAAGTTCTACTGAAGAACATGATTTAGGAGTCATTTTTACATCTAACCTCAAGTAGAGCACACATATTCAATCAGTTGTCTCCAAATCTTTACAAAATCTTGGTATGCTAAAAAATACATTCACCATTATTGATGAATAATTGGATCTCAAATTATATAAAGTGTTTATAAGACCACACCTTGAATATGCAGTGTCAGTTTGGGCCTCGTATTTAAAAACTGACGTATCCTTATTTGAAGCTGTTCAATGTAAAGCAACAAAATGGGCTTTAAGCTTGAGAAATCTTTAATACTGCGAAAGACTAAAAAGACTAAATCTACCATCACTTGAGTTTCAGAGCCTACAATGCGATCTTATTCAAATTTTTAAACTAATAAATCAATTTGATATAATTAATAGTATATATCAACCAACTATTAACTCATTGTTACGTGGTCACCAACTTAAAATAAGACTGGAATAAAACTAGTTGTTTATATTAAGTTGTTTTCTCTGCCTGCTGTATGTATATATTGTATGTATATTTTACGGCTACAACTATAATAATAACAATAATCTCTATATATTTTTTTAATCTTTTTAATTTTTCTTGTTTTACTTTTTTTGATACTTAACATAAAATACGCATGAAAAACTATTTTTTTTTTGGCATTTAAGATCTTGTTTCCAAATCAGAAGTATTCTATAGGATTCTGGCAAACAAGAAAATGTTATTCTCTCTTGCCTGTTTCAAGTAAAGCATCACCTAAAAGTTTATTTTTTTAATGGGCTAACATTGAGATGACAGTAATATTGTTATAACATTAACATACTATTGTCATCTCAACGTCAACCCATTAGGAAAATAAATTGTTACCAATTTGAACCCAAACTTTCTTACTCCTGCAAATATCTTACTCATCCTTGTATAGGATACTGTTGCCATGCTTGGGCTGGTTCTTCAAATAAAGACCTTTCATTTAAACAGGGTCTAAATTGTATTACGAACATTGTTAAATTTGCTCTAGCTGCAATGCTTAAGGTTCCCATTGCCGTAATGATGAATCACTTTCTTTTTTCTAAAAACACAACCGTGGTCACTGCTGAAGCAAACTGCCATCACTTATTTTCAAAATTATTGATTTTTTTTAAAGCAATATTAAAGTTATTATTTATCGTTGTTAGTAAGCAACCAGAATTGATACTTGACTGTATCATTGGCAGGCATTGAAAATAATTCCGAGGTTGTATATATATATATATATATATATATATATATATATATATATATATATATATATATATATATATATATATATATATATATATATATATATATATATATATATATATATATATATATATATATATATATATATATATATATATATATATATATATATATATATATATATCAAGCTTTCCCAGGAAAGGCGTGCGGTTTTCTTTCTCGTACAACCACGAAAACGTTTTTCAAGTTAGAAAACGTGACCACGTCCGTTTGCGCAAGTTATATTATATGCGTTACAGAAAAATTGTTATAAATTTAATAACTGCATAAGAAATTAAGGTAAACTTAAATAGAAAACAATAATAATGCTTTAAATAATTTGTTTGTTGTTTTTATTTTTGTTTTTTCTCAGTGGTTATTATTATCGGCAACAAAATTCATTAAGTCAAAGCAAAAAATTAAAAACAGTTTTAGGCGTTAAAAAAAGGACTTTCCCATATTTTAAGTGTTTTTTCTTTTAAAGAAAAAAGAGAAAATATGTATCGTCATCTGTTTGTAAAATATATTTGTATAATTATAATGTAACAAGTTTATATTAGGAGTTAAATTTTACGATCGCGTTTGCAAACTCTGGTAAAATATTAGGTCTTTAAAATTTTAGTTCGTGCAAAGCTGTGTACTTTGTTTATAAAGAGCAAATTATTAAAAGTTTGCTAGCGAGAAAGTTACAAAAAACAAAACAAAAACAATAAACTTACGACTACAAAAGTAATAACACCTTAGTCACTAACTGCATTATAAATGTAATAAAACTATAATAGTGTTTTTACATATACTTTTATATATTTTTACATATAGCACTTATTACTTTTAAAGTTCATTCTTTGTTCAAACAACATTATTAATTCCAAACATTTATTAAAGTAGAAAAGCATCTAAAAAAAATAAAGCAGATATTCAAATATTATTAAAAATTTCAGGAACCTGCACATATCACATAACATTATAAAAAAGTACTTTATAAAAAGTATAGCATTATGAAAAACGTTACGTAAAAACGCGCGTTAGTTTTAAAATCAACCAATAAAAAATTTTTATTGGTTAATTTTAAAATTAACGCGCGTTTTTACGGTCCATTAGTAACTTTTCATAATGCTTAACTTTTAATACGGCACGTTTTCATAAAGTTGTCTGTCAGGATTTATAAGTTACTTTAGTTTTAAATTTATTTGAACATCCATTTTATTCTTCTAGATATTTTTCTACTTCAATTAAAATTTGGGAATACTAATGTTGCTTGAACAAAGAATGTATTTTAAAAGTTATAAGTGCGTTATAAAAGTAATAACACTATTATAGTGTTATTACTTTTGTAATGCAGTTAGTGACTAGAATGTTCTTACTTTTGTAAGAACATTATAGCAGCCTTTATTATGTGCCACAGCGTAAAAATGACTGAAAAAAATTCTGAATGGTCCTCTTGACTATTTCGCGGCCCCTAACATTGTGAGTCCCAAGGCTACAGCCCTTCTACTCTCCCCCCCCTCCTCAATCCAGCACTGGAAATAAGACAAGTATATAAATAAAAATTATATATACACTTTGATAAATCGGAGAACATTTGTCCTTAATTCTTTTAAATATCGAGTGCGATCGCACCCGCTTCCCGACCAAGCCTGAATATATATATATATATATATATATATATATATATATATATATATATATATATATATATATATATATATATATATATATATATATATATATATATATATATATATATATATATATATATATATATATATATATATATATATATATATATATATATATATATATATATATATATATATATATATATATATATATATATATATATATATATATATATATATATTTATATTTATATATATATACAGGCTTGGTCGGGAAGCGGGTGCGATCGCATATATATATATATATATATGTGTGTGTGTGTGTGTATATAGGAAAGCGGAAAGCGGGGGCAACATGGCGAATGGGGCAAGATGGGTTTTCATATAACAACTCAACAAAAAATTTAAAAATTGGGTGAAAACGAAACTGTATTTGCATCTTGTATTTTAAAATACCAATTTGTTTTTTGAAATATTATTAACGCTATTTTATACAAATAAGTTTCCTTTTTGCGCTTAAAAAAATATTCCACACTTTCGGTTTCTCATAACGGTTGGTGTCCTTTAAGTTTTAATATCTTTAGAAGTAGTTTTTGCAATTTGTGTTTATTTTTTGTTACTTTAGTTATTTAGTTAGAGTTATTGGCAGTTTTTAAAATTTTATAAAATTGGAGATAAAAATTGCATAATAAGTCATCTTGCCCCGGTCACGTGACCAGATGACAAATTCATGAACTTTTTATTTTAATATTTATTTCAAATTGTTATATTTGCAAACTGAAAATTCATACAGGCAATAAAAGAATTTAATAGCATAAACATACTGCGAAAGTATTATGGCTTAACGACTTTTAGTTTTTCAATAACTCAGGGCTTTCAAAACGTTCGCCATGTTGCCCCGCTTTCCCCTATATATATATATATATATATATATATATATATATATATATATATATATATATATATATATATATATATATATATATATATATATATATATATATATATATATATAATATATATATATATATATATATATATATATATATATATATATATATATATATATATATATATATATAATTTATGTGATAGGAGAATGGAAACAAGAAACCCTTAAATCTTAGCCCCCTCCCCCCATGTTTTTTTAAATTCCCTGAAAATCCAAATTTAATTTTTTATTAATTAAAGCGGGCATCTAACCACAAATCAATTGCTTCTGAGCCAAATCTCTAACACAAAAAACTTTTTTTATAATCTGAAATTTTTTCTGTAGTAATGATTTAGTTTTTATGTTCAAATCATTTTTAATTAATCCTAAAAATAATTTAAACTAATTTAAAACCAATCAGTAAAAATTAAACAAAAGTATAAAAATAAAATAATATTAAAACAAAATTTAAAAATATAAAAAAATACAGTTCAACTTTTAAAATGATTTTTGGAATAATAATGCGATAAATTTAAAATAAAATCATTTATTTTTAAAAATTAAATAAATTATATAACTGTTAGTTACAAATTAAAGAATTAAATGAATTCAAACCGTAATAAAGTTGGTATCAACCACACTATATTTCCATCACTATAAACAATAACTTTAGTCTTTCCATAATAATCTAAACCTTGGAAATCCTGTTCTGCACTGCAAGAAAAAAAATGACATAAAAAAGTAGCACAAATTATTTGTATAAAATATGTACACTATACTATCATTTTCTGCCTATTTAATGTAAAAAAACATATATTTTATACTGATAGTTTCAGTAACTAATACATCGAAGCACCAAAAAGATTTTTTTATTATTACTGTTATCTTTTAAAGTAATATGTTCTCAGTCAAAAATGAAATAAGTATGAAATAAGTATTTGTTGATCTAAATTCGCTATAGTAAATATATAAATTTACTCCTGTGTGAATAAATATATGCATTCTGAGCAAAAAATTTTAAAATTTGCTTTTCAATATTGACACTGTTTTAAAAAATTGATGAATGAAAAAATATGTATTATTGTCTGAAAATTAATAAAATATTAAATTTCTTGGGATAATTATCGACGAAGCGATTTAATGGAAAGCCCGTATAAAAACACTAAATACAAAAATATCAAAAAGTATCGGTATACTTTACAAAGTCAAACCTATACTTTCCCAGGAAAATCTAAAAATCCTCTAATTTTCTTATATACAAAGTTACCTAACATATGCTAATATTGCCTGGGGAAGTACAAATAAATTTAAATTAAGTTCTTTATATTTACACCAAAAACACGCATCAAGATTGATTTATAATAAAAACAAATTCACTCATGCCGATCCTTTACTTAAAAACTTGAATGCTTTAAATATCTATCAAATTAACATCTACCAAAATATTTTATTTATGCTCAAATATAAGCTCGGACTTGTCCCAACTCATTTTACTAATAACTTTTTTCAAACCAACGCCAACAGATATATCACACGAGGAACCGGAAACTTTACGTTGCCCATAAAAAAAACAAATTTTTCGAGGTTTTCAATTTTATACCCGATTTGTGGCCCCGATTTATACAACAAAATAATACCTCAAAATATAGAACTTACTAAACTGGATTATCTTATTGCCCTTAAGAAAAAACTAAAAATATCTCATAATTAACAAAACCAATTTTATCGATATGTATTAAATATAAAAGAACATTTAAATAATAAAATGTAAAAAGAACAATTCAAGCTATAAAAATAAAAAATAAAAAGCTATAAAAATAAAAAATAAAAAGCTATAAAAATAAAAAATAAAATCTATAAAAATAAAAAATAAAAAATAAATAAAAAATAAATTAAAAAAATATATAACAAATACATATAGTTAGCAACTATACATAGTAAAATATTAATGAACAGATGACTTCAAAAAGTTAATGTGTGTTTTATAGATTTACTCTTTAAACTTTTAGTTTATTTTATATTTTAAAGGTTCTCGATGAAAAGACTTTTCTTAGTCTTCTGCGAGTTTCCTTACAACTACATTGTACTATTAATATATATTAATATATAGTTTCAACGACAACGACAAGCAAGTCCCTAGTAGCCCTGTGATGCGACGGACTAACGTATATTTTTTGCATGCATGGTTAATAGCCAGCACTTTATATTATAAACTACGAATTTTTAAGTTTATTATTTTAACTCGATGTCAAACGCGCATGCGTTAAACAGTTAACGCTTTTTATATATTGTGAATATTTGTGAGGGATGTTTATATAAACTGAAGACATGTAGATGTTATTTGTTTTTGAAATATATAATAACAATTGTTGTAAAAAAAAAAAAAAAAAAAAGATTAAATATAATAAACTAAACCTGTAACCTTACATCTATAACTATTAGTTTATAACGACTAAGTAAAGGTCTTGTCAAAAATAATTATTTTAAGTAAACATTTTATAATTTCGACTTCAATTTACTACCGAGTAATTTGAATTGAAATTACATAGAAAATCAAGTAACTAGAAAAGTAATTCTAGTAAAAATAAGAGAATTTAAAAAGTCATTTTAAACAATGTTTGATAATGTTTAACATTGATAAGTCTTACTTGTTATATACAGTGATATCTGGCTTCCATATTTTATTTGGAGAAACTGTTACACTATTTATGCCTTCCCATTCACTTGCATTCCACGTCAAAAATGGATCCTGCCAGAACTATTAAAAAAATTTCGATTATAAATCAGTACAGATTTTAAAACCTTTTAAAACCATTTTCAATTAAAAAAAAATCAACATATTTTTTAGAGTAGGCTTACTTGTCGTATCCATGTGTTTACTACAATTATTTCAATACTTTCATCCTGGAAAAAAATATTCCAAAGTAAATAACTAACATAGCATCAATTAGAATTTTTAGTTAATGTTTAAAAAAAAAAGTAAAACAAGATCCGATTTTGTTTCATACACTCTACTATAATTGATTAATGAAATAATTTAATTTATTTCATTAATCGAGTATAGTATAGTGTATGCTTACTGCTTATTTGATAAGGATTTTGGTGTTTTATTTATCTTTTTCTTAAAAAAAGCACTTTCCCTACCCCAATACATGTTAATGATTTAATGAAAATGAAAAATCATCAGTATTACATTTACTTTATTTTTTTTTAAGTTACAACTTCTGTCTTAACTGGCTTTTTAACAAAAGGACAATGTACATGGTATTTTGAAATATTTGAAATTATGTGAAGAAAGAATAAATGATTTGTTTAAATAATTAAAATAACTTAAAAAAATTGATTATCATTAAGCTCATAAAAAATAGGTTCTTATTAATAAGCTGTAAAAATAAAAATAAAATTTACTTAAAATTAGAAAAAACTCAGAAAACGCATGTTAATGAAGAAAATAAAATTTATTCATTTAATTAAGTAGTAAGTAGTAAAAACAATAGAAAATTCATTTCAAGTATGACTTATAATGGTATTTAACTTTAATAGTAAAAAACTGAATCAAAAAAGTCAACAAGCAATAAAATAGTTGTTTTCTGCTGACTATGAGAATAACTTATTTGTTAATAATGGTAAATTTGAAATAGCAAAAAGAATGATATTTACTAGAGATGACTTATATCAATAGCTTAAAAAACAGTGTATATAAAAAAAACATATTTAGTAATTTGGAAAGAGCAAACTCGTCAAATCTTTACCCTTGAACAAACCCATGTTTTAGGTATGAAGTGAAAATGAAAACTGATATAACTTTAAAAGATTTTTTATCTAACTCTCTAGCATGCCCTGATCGGGCTGAAGATTTAAATGCTAAAATTTCATAAAAAGGTTTTTACTTTTAAATTAAAATATATATGTCTTATTTTTTCAAGCAACTTAATAAAAAAATAACCTTTAAAGTGCATCAGAGAGTATGATTAAAAATGCATTAAGGCAGAGATAACTTAAAGTATACTTTGCCCTTTTTGTTCTAATTCATAATTAATAGCAGAAGTGAGGATTCTTTACATTACATTAAGTCATTATTTCCATATGAGTAAAAATCAAAGGTCCATATGATTCATATGGACCATATGATTCATATGGTCCGTATGAATCAAAGGTCCAAATGAATCATATGGTCCATATGAATCATATGGTCCGTATGAATCATATGGTCCATATGAATCATATGGTCCATATAAATCATATGGTCCATATGAATCATATGGTCCATATGAATCATATGGTCCATATGATTCATATAGACCATATGAATCATATGTTCCATATGAATCATATGGTCCATATGAATCATATGGTCCATATGAATCATATGGTCCATATGAATCATATGGTCCATATGAATCATATGGTCCATATGAATCATATGGTCCATATGAATCATATGGTCCATATGAATCATATGGTCCATATGAATCATATGGTCCATATGAATCATATGGTCCATATAAATCATATGGTCCATATGAATCATATGGTCCATATGAATCATATGGTCCATATGAATCATATGGTCCATATGAATCATATGGTCCATATGAATCATATGGTCCATATGAATCAAAGGTCCAAATGAATCATATGGTCCATATGAATCATATGGTCCGTATGAATCATATGGTCCATATGAATCATATGGTCCATATAAATCATATGGTCCATATGAATCATATGGTCCATATGAATCATATGGTCCATATGAATCATATGGTCCATATGATTCATATAGACCATATGAATCATATGTTCCATATGAATCATATGGTCCATATGAATCATATGGTCCATATGAATCATATGGTCCATATAAATCATATGGTCCATATGAATCATATGGTCCATATGAATCATATGGTCCATATGAATCATATGGTCCATATGAATCATATGGTCCATATGAATCATATGGTCCATATGAATCATATGGTCCATATGAATCATATGGTCCATATGAATCATATGGTCCATATGAATCATATGGTCCATATGAATCATATGGTCCATATGAATCATATGGTCCATATGAATCATATGGTCCATATGAATCATATGGTCCATATGAATCATATGGTTTATGAATCATATGGTCCATATGAATCATATGGTCCATATGAATCATATGGTCCATATGAATCATATGGTTCATATGAATCATATGGCCCATATGAATCATATAATTCATTTGAATCATATGCCATTTGATCATATGGTCCATATTAATCATATAATTCATTTGAATCATATGCCCAATATGAATAATATGGTCTATATGATTAATATGCTTCATATAAACCATATGGTCCATATGAATCATATGCTTCATATGAATCATATGCTTCATATGAATCATATGCTTCATATGAATCATATACTTCATATAAATTATATGCTTCATATCAATCATATGGTCCATATGAATCATATGGTTCATATGAATCATGTGGTCTATATGAATCATATGATCCATATGAATCACATGCTTCATATAAATCATATGGTCCATATGAATCATATGCTTTATATAAATCATATGGTCATTATGAATCATATGCTTAATATGAATCATATGATCCATATGAATTATATGCTTCATATGAATCATATGATTCATATATATGGTCCATATAAATTGTATAATCCATAAGATTCATATGCTCACAAGTACTTAAAACAAATTTTTTCAAAGTGATCTTATTGAAATAATATATTGAGCATATATATTTTACATTGAAAACATGCATTTAGTTGTCATTCATCAAAATGATGATTGCAGGGGTGTTTCTGCCGTTTATCTTGAAGAAAGCTTTTATATAAAACATTTCTAAATAATCAGATAAACTAATAAACAATATTGGTGTTTATAAAGCTGGTGGATATTAAGTTATTGTTTTGCTATTTTTTTTATGTTTTTTTTTTTAATTATATTTATAATTCTTTTAGTTCTTGTTTATAAAGCTGGTAGATATTAACTTATTGTTTGTTTGTTTTTTTATGTTGTTTTTTAATTCTATTTCAAAATAAGATTTCTTCAATTTAACCTGAAAATTTTAGGATATTTTCACCTATATATAAGTGAAATTTTCAGGATATTTTCACCGATATATAGGTGAAAATATCCTGAAAATTTCAGTTTAAATTCAAGAAACCTTATTTTTAATAGAATTAAAAAAAAACATAAAAAAAAAAAAACAATAGCTTAATATCCACTAGCTTTATAAACATCAATATTGTTTATTAGTTTATTCCACGCATCCGCCGCGATGCGTAGAATCAAAATTTCATTACGCGCATCATATCTAATAAATTATAAAATAAATATAATAAAAAAACGCGTCTTCAATGAGAGCAATATAAAATCCTTCCAATATCAATTATCACTTCTGCATTGGATACATATTATCTTTAATGAAGACGCAAATACAATATATAATAAATTCTTTAACACGTTCTTCTCAATATACGATGCAAACTTTCCACTTTGTGATAAAAATAACAAAAATGAAAACTTTAAATAGTCCATGGATTACCAAAGGACTTAGAAAATCCTCTAAGATCAAACAGAAACCATATATAAAATATTTAAAAACAAAATCAAATGTAAACCAACAAAAATATAAAAATTACCAAAATTTATTTGATAAAATTTGTAAAAATTAAAAAAAAATTGTTATTCAAATTTAATTAGGAAAGTTATAAACGACACAAAAAATACTTGGAGAACATTGAAAGAAATAACAGGAAAACAAAAAACAAATTAAAACTCTCTTCCTAAAGTAATTAAAATAAATAAAACAAGTATATATGAACCAAACAAAATTGCAAACGAGTTTAATAAATATTTCATTGATATAGGAATTAAACTGGCAAACAAGATCCCTATTATGGAAAAATTTTTTAGTGATTTCTAGAGAAATAAGTTGCTTTTTATAGATAATTTACATTCTGACTTATCTTTTGATGAGTTTGAGAGAGCCTACAAATCTCTCAAAAGAAACAAAGTTATGGGTGTGGACGAAATAAATGGCAACATAGTCATAGATTGCTTTGAAAACTTAAATGTATTCTTTATAAAATCTTTAGAGCATCTATACAGCAAGGTGTATTTCCCGACCAATTAAAAATAGCTAAAGAAACTCCTATATACAAAAACGGAAAAAAATCAAATATTAGTAATTGTTGCCCTATCTCAGTTCTTTCAACTTTCTCAAAAATTTTAGAAAGAATTATATATAATAGAGCGTACAATTACCTTAATCTAAATAAACTTCTATATAAAAATTAATTCGGTTTTAAAAAAAACTGAACAAGCCATTACACAGTTCATTCGTGAAATCTCCAATTAATTTGGTAGATCACAATATACATTAGGTATTTTCATTGACCTATCAAAAGCATTCGACACGGTCGATCACAAAGTTCTACTTAAAAAACACAAATTTTATGGAATTAATGGCAAATTAATAAAATGGTATAAAAGTTACTTGAAAAATAAAAAACAATTTGTTTTCTATGGAGGTTATTTTCAAAATAAAAAACTAATTGACATAAAATGTGGTGTTCCACAGGGTTCTGTTCTAGGCCCACTTTTGTTTTTAATCTATATAAATGATTTAAATAAAGCTTCTAACCTTATGAGTATCATTTTTGCGGACGATACTAATTTATTTCTGTCAAACAGTGACATTTATGAGCTTTTTTCAAATATGAATAAAGAACTCAATCAGATCTCCAACTGGTTTAAGTGCAACAAGTTAACTTTAAACATTGACAAAACAAAATGGATCCTTTTCCACTCTCTTGCAAAAAAGCGTTTTTCACCAAATAAATTGCCTAAACTTTTTATTGATAAAATTGAAATAAAAAAGGAGTCGGTCACAAGATTTTTAGGCATTTACATTGATGAAAATATTACATGAAAGTATCATATCGACTATATTTCTACTAAATTGGCTAAAAGTATTGGAATTCTATATAAGGTTATTTTTCTGATTTTATTGCGATAAGAATGGAACGATCTAAGCTTGTCAATTGTAAAGTTTATTAATTTGAATTTTCTAAAATCTAGTTTTATTTGTTGTCGCTGTTTGATTTCAGAAACTATCGTCATACGTAGGTACAAAATTTCATCGATCAGCTGTTTCTCGTTGAGCGAGTCCAAAATATTGAAAGTTTTTTGAGTTATGGGACCGTTGTGTGTTTGTACTTTTTAAGAAACTTTAAAGTTTTTCTAACATTTTTTACCATTATTCTTTGAAGTTTAATCATCTCTAGTTGACGAGTATTTTTTTTTTCACTGTAGCTAAGAAATCAGCTTTCACTGTAGCTAAGAAATCAGCTTCTTCTTTCCTGACTTGTCCTATTTCCATAGGACAAGTCAGGAAGGAAGTTATCTTCCCGGGAAATTCTAAAAACTCTAAATTCAGCAAGCAAAATATCTTATCAATAACATGATCGATGCCCAATAATAAATACGTGCAACTTTTTTTGTCATCAGAACCTAGGTTAATTAATTCTTTATCAAGCCGATTTGAATTGCATGTCTGTTTCTGACCAAAGATAACATTAGCAATCTTTACAACGATACCAACTATGTCACCGCGATTGATTTTGTGTCGCATATTTACTTGATTGTGCATCTTTTTATACGTCCAAGCATTTACGCCTAGTTCTTCTCACAATCTTTGGTAACATGTCTCCTAAACTAGTAGTGTAGTTTCTCAAACTTGAAATTAGTGTTTCTGGCATGATTGGAAACGTGGCAACAAGGCCTTGATCTTGGTCATCAAATTTGGTTCTTTAAACAAAATGTGTTTAGGGCCGCCATACTGATTAGCCATACTGATTTCATCCATAGCCTTCCGCTTATACTCATTAGACTATTTTTCCTCTTTTCTCTTCACCTGTTTTTTTTCATTTCTGTGAAACTATCGATGAACAAATTGCAAAGACTCGTAGCAATTATCATAATGAAATGCCACATCTTCATCTGTCATTTTAACGTCAAACAACTCTTCCAAAATCTGTTGGTATACCACATTATTTGTTCTGATGCCCTAGGCTTTGCCTGTCATACGCATGTTGAAATCATGAGCTTTCTGTATCTATGGACTTGTTTTCTTGAACTTTTTTTGTTGTCTAACCAAAGTCGTGAAATTTTTAATGATGAAAAATCAGCGCTGAAACAATGGGCTTTTATAGCAAAATGAATGTGCTGCTGATCACAAATACGTCTTAGTGGGCAAGTACATGCACACGAAGGTGCATGTCCACCTACGCAACTATTTACTAAGTTTAAAACATTTACTATTTATTTCTGTGAGGCTATTGAACATGAAATACATGTTCGTGACCTAAAACGCTATTTAACAAAAAAAAAATTTTGTTATGTTCGTATCCAGGGCTAAAGAAAGCATATAGAATAATATATTACACGCAGATATTTGCGGCAAAATATTTTTTTTACCAAATTTTGCAAACCATTTTAAAATAAAGGCAAACTTCTGACCAAAATTGCTGTCAAAAACGAAAATTCTTCTAAGTTTGAATTCAGCGTCACATTTCGCTTTAAAAACAGCTTGTTTTAGAAAAACAGATTTGCATACTATCAATGCAAGTTTTTTTGATAATAAAAAAACAAAACAAAGAAGCAAATTTTAAAAGATGTACTCCAAATATGTATATATATATATATATATATATATATATATATATATATATATATATATATATATATATATATATATATATATATATATTACAATAATATATAATAAAAAAATTTGATTTAATAAATTATATTTATAACAAAACATCAATATAACATTACCATTCGGATCAACTGTCTTAAAGCAATATCAAATGTTAAGTTGACACCTTTTCCAGGTAAAGTAGGTAATGCATCTGGATGATAGTTACGGAATAAATGATCAAGCAGCTTAACTTCAGTGCGACGGTCAGCTAAATATATCAAATATATCTAATGTTTATATATATATATATATATATATATATATATATATATATATATATATATATATATATATATATATATATATATATATACATATATATATATATATATATATATATATATATATATATATATATATATATATATATATATATATATATATATATATATATATATATATATATATATATATATATATATATATATATATATTTTATATATATAAAATTTTTAACTTGCGATCAAATTTTTTTGCATCTTTCTTGGGGCCCAAAAAAAATAAAACAAAATAGGCCAGCTTACTCCATAAAGGGTAAGTTAGCGCGAACTACTGTTATTACAGCATTTTTGTTTGTTTTAAACATCCGTTAAGTTTGTATGCTACGAGGCTAAAACGGGCCAGAAGACTTAAAATAATTATGTATAAAATTACTGTTAATGTATTATTAGGCGCATAATTAAAAGAAATTTTTTTACTTCTTATTTTCTTAAAAGTTTATACCAAAAATTTGATATTTCCTCAAGTATACAAATAATTTAGCATAGTAAGCCAGAACAGTAGCCAAGTTTATTTTAAAGGTAAAAAAAAAAACTTAAACTTTTTAAAAATTTTTTTCTGTAAAAAATTAATGTGTCAATACTGTTACAATTTTTTTTTCTATAATAAATAATAGGAGCCTCCAAGCCCCGTAAAACGTTTTGCCAACGTATTTCAAAAGCCCATTTTTCTAATAAAAAATAGATCTTAATATGTGTTTATTATTTTATGTATTACAGAAATCAGTAGAAAAATTAAAAATGTAACCTTTACAATATATAACTTTTTGTACGGTCATTTTTTGCTTTGTAAAGTAAAAAGGCAATAATGATCCAAAAGTTACTTTTTTGTCAAAAAAACAAAAATCGCAATATCTTTGAAGCTCATGCGTAAATCCTAACAATACTATAGTAAAAAATAAAATAGTCAATTATATTTTTGGTACTGAAGAAAGAAGAAAAAAAGAGGTCTTAAGATAAACTCAATTCGTTTAAGAATTAAACGAATTGAGTTATTGTTTTTATACCATAATGTTTAAGTTTAAAAAAAAAAATGGTTGACAAAACCAGGGGTAAATTACCCCTGGTTTTGTCAACCATTTTTTTTTAATAAACTTAAACATTATGGTATAAAAACAATAACTTAATTTGGTTTAAAGTATATTATCAAAAAGAAACCATTAAATGCAATTTGAAACAGTTAAAACAAAAAAAAGGTAGTAACATGTGATATTCCTGAAGGCTCGATCTTATATCCGTTTTTTTTAATTTTTCTATATAAATGATTTATCATTTACCTCAAACTTGTTAAATTTTATTTTGTTTGCGGATTAATCAAATCTGTTTTATTCTCATAGGGATATAAAAACCCTCTTTAATGTATGTAATGAAAGAATTAGATAAAATAAACAAAATATTTATATGTAACAGACTCTCGCTTAAAATTAAAAAATCTAAACTGACTTTATTTCATAAACTAAATAAAACAGAACTTTTCTTCAAAAATAACTGATCAGTTAATTTTGGAGAAAGATTCTCTGCTTTATTTAGTTTATAAATTTTTTTTTTAATTTTAAGCGACAGTCTGTTAAATATAAATCTTTTTTTTATTTTATCTAACTTTTTCATTGATTACATTAAAAAGAGTTCTTATATCCCTATGGAATAAAACAGATTTGAAAATAATTGAAATAATTATTACTAGACAAACCTCTGTAAACATTTTAGGTGCTATTTTTACCTTTATTTTTACACAAACACACACACACACACACACACACACACGCGCACGCAGATTTTGATACTATAGATTTTGGATTTTTTTGAACTCACTAAGTAATATTAGCATCACACCCGGTAGGGAACGAGCTTACATATAAATGCCAAATTTTATCGCGTTTTTTGAGCGATTTTTTTTCATCGCATTATTATTTCATTTGTCTTTCAACGTCATAAAAATTCGATTAACAGTATTGGAGCTATTTTATTTATAATAATAGTTAAACTTATAATATTTCAAACTTATTACCTTATGTCGCAGCCTTGTATCTATAATAATTATTAAAATGTATTGCTAACTACTTATTGTAGCACTCTAGCTACAAACAACAATCTGTAGTTTGCCAAGATAGCGCAACTTTGTAGATAGCAAACTATTACGAGTAGCTAACTACAGCAAAACGGCAAACCTATTATAGCTAATTGATGGCTAAATATCGTAGCTTTTTATCTAGAGATATTGCTACGACAATATATTGATAGTTATATGTCATACTTTTGATGCAAGCTACTACGTAACAACAATTCTATAGCTATGATGCGACTAATATAGCTTATTAAAATATAGTAGACTATTGAAGTACTTGGTTTTTTTTCAACACCTGATTTTGTTGCAATTTTTTTAGTTTTTGTTGCAATTTTGTCTTCATAATCACCATGACTAATAAACAAAGTGTCAGTCACACATTCCACATACAATTTTGGATCAGTAATGCTAACTGAATCAGCACAACCATCTTTTAGTTTTTTTGCTTGGTTATATCTTTTGTAAGCTTCTTTTTGTTGTTGTTTAACATTGTTTGCCAAGAAGTAAAAATTACCCAAATTAAAATCAGTTCTTGTACTGTAACAAAGGTCTTGCGTAGGCCGTTTTTCGTCTCCATTTTTTTTTTTTTATAAACACGTTTGGATAATGTGCACGATACACGTAAGTTGTAGATACATTACCCACATAAGTCTGAACAGTATCTTTAGTTGCAATAAATGTTCATATGTTTTAATAACGGTTGTTATTAAAACATATGAGCCACTTTTCTTGTAATATATCGTATTCTGCAAGCTTTACACATTGTACTTTTGCATAACCTTTTCCTACTTGTTTTGAGCGTGCTCATTAAAAACTAGGAGCCAAATCTAGTGAGAGTAAACTAAAAAGTTTGCTCTCACATAGTTTCTGATGTGTAATAAAGTCCTTATTTTTTATTTAATTTTTTTTAAATGGACAAGATTGGATATTAAATTGGCAAAACAAATGTATATTTTTAGTGATATCAAAAATTGGTGAATGCGGAAAAGAAAAGATCACCAAAATATCAAAAAGATTCAGTAAAAACTATAATACAAATCAAAATCAAAATAATAAAGAATTTAAACTTTAAAAGCTGATGAAAACCACCATTACAAAAAGCCACCTAAATAAACATTTAAAAATCATGAACAACGATTTAAAAAATAAACTTGAGCAAACGGAAAAAGATAAGCTAAAGGTGCTGCTATACAAGCAAGAAGCCAATAAAGATTTGAAGGAGGAAGTTGCTCTAGATTATTTTAGGTTTGAATAAGCAATAAGGTTTAAAAGTATTATAACAATATGCATCGGAAAATAATTCAAATAAAAGAAACATAAAATGATTCTGAAGGTATTTTGTTAGATTTCAAAAAATTTGACAAAATCTATATAAAATAAAAAAAATTATCAGGAACCTCAAAATTATTTGTTCCCAATCGCCAATCTTAAAAAAGTGACGGATCAAAGAAATTTGCTGTTGAATAAAACCATTTTCGAAACAAAATTCGAAGGAAAATCTCAAATGAAAAATAACAAATGACCAGGACTCGGGCGGACTCACAATTTAATTTTATAAACTTTTTTTTATAAATTATTAAGAAAGATCTTAGTATAAACACTTAAAAATGTTTTAATTAGCGGGGAAATGAAACTTTCTGAAAAGCAGGCCATTATGACTGTTATATATAAAAAAGGAGAAAAAAAAAATTAGCTACTGGAGACTTGTATCTCTCACAATCGTTGACTATAAAATTCTAACAAAAACATTAGCCGATAGAATAAAAAGTTCTTCGTATAATCTGTTATTAATAATAAATTATTATTATATATGTTCTGGTTTTTATAATTATATGGTTGCAGACTTAATTATTTAGCTAACAAAGAAAAACTGGATGCATGTGTTTACTTATGTCAGATGAAAGCCTTCGATAGGGTAGACATTGTTTTTTATTCAAAAACTTTGAACATTTTGGATTTGGAGAGATTTTCGTGTTATTATCAAAACAATTTACAACAAAATAAACGCAAAAAACTTGAAAAAACAGTTTTTTTGGGGGAAAAATTAAATTTTTTAAGAGGGGTAAAACATACTGTAGTGATACTGTTCGTCATACAGGCTGAAATACTTTTACAATGATACAAAATGTGATACAAAAGGGATTTAGGTCTATATTAGGAAAAAAGGTAATAAATATATAGCAATATGCAGATGATACCAGTTTTTATTAAATCGGAGACAACTCCATCAAAAATTAAAGCACTTATGCTAATTTATAAAAATACCGACAATAAAATGAACATTGCCAAATATTAGAGAATATGGTATGGCAGAAATAGAACGAGGTAAATAAACTTCAACTTTTACTTTTACTAGAACGAAAGTTATTTTAAAGGCTTAAGCATAGTTTTTTTAATTAAGGAAATTAATGAAAAAATATTTTTTAAAAAAAAGCGCAAAAATGACTTTAATAAAACTCTTTTTTTCAAAAGGCTTAGGCCTTTCATCAGAAAGTGCCAAAAATTACATTGAACCTTTTTTTAATTGACCATTTCATCTATTACTGGAGTTTTCTTAGGATTCGCGCATGCGCATGGAAGATATTGGGATTTATGTGTTTTTTGGACAAAAACGTAACTTTTGGATCATCATTTCTTTTTTACTTTACATGGAATAGTTATATAGAAAAAAAATTGCTGAAAAATTTCAGTTACAATTGGTTTACTATTTTCAATAACTTTTTTTCAATATTTGCCGTTTTTTGAAACTGTATATTGAAAAAAAAGATTATGCGTAAGTTGGAAAAATTTTCACGGGGCAAGTTGGCTCAAAGCATTTTCTCTGGAAAAAAATACATTTTTTTTTTTTTTTGATTTTGATCAATA